ATTGATGACTGAAATGAGGAATGAAGAAATTTATTCTCGAGCGCTAATAATAAAAAAACAGTCAATCAAAAGCGAAACCTCACAAAATGCACAATTTTTGTTAACAAGATTAACTCAAGTCATTTTGGTTAAAAATCACATTTAAGTTTCCGCGTTTGATTGACGCAGATGAGGAATAGGGATTAGCGAAATGTACACACCCCTTTCGGGATAACTTAGCTTTTGCCTGCAAAATCTAACGCCCCGTTAATAAAAAAACTGACGATGCGGAACCTCGAAACTTCTCCATATTCCTCCATTCTACCTATAATTACTGTTCTCCAATTACCTCAGTCTCTCACTACTGCTGCCACTACGTCTGCTTTACCTACGACTCTCTCTTCTGGATCTCCATGGTAGCGGTTGTCTGATGTTAGGATAAGCTCCGGAAACATACAAACCTTATAAATGAAACATGCACCAATTTGAAAATCCGCAAAACTTTATCTTAACAAAATATTTCCACCTATCTCGGAGTTACGGAAGAGAGGTGTTTGTGGACTAAAGAAATCACAAGTTACCCTCAAAGTTAGGAGAAGCAAATTATTACTCCTAGTAAAATTGGTCAATATTGAGAAATGTAAACTAACAGGTTACTTGAACACAAAACTCATAAATTTTAAGCCAGAAAAAGTCATTTAAAATTTTATGATACTATAACTTTAAGATAATAGTTAACGGTGATAAAAGAATGCACAGTGTGGAGGAAATACTACATAATCGTTACTGAAAGTAATAAAGTAGTCAGCTCACCATATGGCAGTCCGGTTATATCAATACCACGAGCAGCAACATCAGTACAAATGAGGAAATTTACTTCTCCATTCTACAAAAGAAAATACACAAACAAGAAACAGAAAAACCTTGATACATCCCGTCAACTCAAATGAACTCTCAGCAGTACTCACCTTGAACTTTTGTAGATTCGCCTTTCTCTCCATAGGGTTGCGATCACTATGGAGACAGACGCAGCTGAATTGACCATGAGCTTTGGTAGGCCCACCACCCAAGGAGATAAAAAACTGCTCGAGGTTATCACAGTCCAATTTCGTGCGACAGAAGATGAGAGCACGGTCCATCTTCTGTTGTTCAATGGCTCGTACCACGTACTTGCCTTTGAGCAATTTGACGGCCTCAGAAAGTAATTCTGAAAGATAAAATTTAACAGTTAGCAACAGTAATAGCTTATGCACTATTGATGAAGGGGTCAGACGTTGTAGGCACATTACATATTGCGATCATATCGTGAACAGTATAACCAACAGTGTAGGATAATACTGATAGTCGAATGCTTACTTTTGCTCTACGCAATACTTAGCTTTACCAACTAACAGTTCGTTAGTTGTGATGGAAAAGATGTCACTCTATGCTCTGGTATTAAATTAAACGTTGTGAAAATGAAAATATATGCAAATCTTTCCTTGCGGAGCAGAGCATACGATCTGTAGATTTGAATAATTTTTAGCAACGTCACGAAATTGCTCTCCGTCATTATCCTATTTGTTAACCAACATTAATCATTGCGATTATTCAACCAACTCAACCTTAATTTCATACCAGATTCTCGTAATGCGACCAAAAAAGACTTTCCGAGAAAGATGAATACTAGAAGAATAAAGAAGGTTCGAGGGATTACCAGGAGTCTCGTAGTTGGCATTGAGTTTATCTCTCATGTGAACACCATCAGTGTGTATGTGACCGACGCCGCTGCCCAGCATTTGCTTCCAGGAGGTGTCCTGGTGAGGGTCAACTTGACAGATCTGAAGAAATAAAGCGAGAGTAATGTTGCTTAGCGAATTATTTCGGTATCCACGAGTGTTGGATTAAATTAGTGAGATTTTGTGATATGAGCAAAAAAGGAACCATTTGAGACAATTCATAGACATTTAAACTGCTATAGAAAATGAGAAACAATCAGACTATAAAAATAAGCAAGTTGCGTAGTACACATTTTCAGAAATGACTCGTAGATCATGCGATCTTTAATCTTTTGCCAAAACCAATAAGTGATTCTTAAAACTGAAAGAAGCTAGTACTGCCTAGAAGTATCTTTCCCATAAGTAGTGTAAAATGTCAAATTGTCAAAACAATCGCTAAAACACTCATTGATAAGTGTTATTGATCGACAATCATATGAATAAGCAGACAACACAAAAGACTCCACAACTCCTAAAAGCTCTTTAAAATTGCAAAAATAGAAAATTAAAGAAAACTCACAACGTGGTGAACAGTCTCTGGAACGCTGTCCTGACCCTTCAAATCGACCCATTGAGGGAAATACATTAGTTGATTCTAAAGAGAAAGCGAAAAGAAAAACGTCTAACAAAGATTATCGTGTGAATCTAGAACTACCCACAATTTAGCTCAACTTACAGCCAGCTTTTTAACCTCAAAGGAATGTAGAGTGGCCGAACAGACAATCATCTGAAGGCGATGCAGTCCATCAGGAGTAACCTTGGGGCATTTGTTGTAGAGGCGATGAATGAGCTGCCCATTTCCTGCGCTCAAAAGGCCATCACATTCGTCCAGAATGAAGAAACGACAATGGGAGAGTGATAAGGCACCCGTAGAGACCATATCATCTAATCGACCAGGAGTGGCAACAACTATATCCACCTGTGAACCAAAAAACCATAATGCATTAATAATCAAACTAGAATTAGCAGAGACGATTGGAAGTGCTTTGCGAGAAATGAGTGGAAATTCAGATATTGAATGAAAAGATCAATGGGAATTTATATGGAAATCAGCTTCGAAACTCCCATATCAAATGAAATTGAGGATAAAGCCCTGGGAGGACGATTACCACAAGCCTGTAGATGGCCTAACAACTGATAGATGCACGTTTCCAGTGGATGGATGCAACTAAAATTAAGTGTAGAAGAATGGCTATGAGATCACATGAAAATGCGACCTTCAAGTTCTTTTTAATATGAAGATGGAGGAAAGCTCAAAACAAAAGATAAAGCGGACAGCCTGATAATTCTTAATCGCAGTTGAAGGATAACTTTATTGATTTTCATCAATTTTAGATTATTACTTGTAATAGCCTATTTATAGTGAAGATGCAAGCTGCAAGATTTGCGTTACCGGTTGGAAAATTAATGGACACTAGAAAAGCAGCCGACAGTAACCATGATGCATAGAAGGTACTCGTTTCGAGTCTGACCACTACCAAAACTGTGAAGAAAACGTTTTGTTCTAGTAAATAAGTATAATATACGTAATGGAATAATAAAATGTAAAAATACCCCTGAGCCATCTTGGTCTTTCCTCCCACCATCTCCACCAATTATGAGTTTAACACGAGGGCTGGGATCATTTAAGTGCTTCTTAAAGAGAAGTATCTGGTCGTAGGTTTGCTGAGCCAACTCCCGAGATGGCTACAAAAAAGATGAAGTATGGATAATATTTATACAACAATTAAGTATACCAAGTGTAAAGAAAATATATCACCTCCATGATGAGCGCTAAGGGGTGTTTTGACCCACGAACTGTTGATCCTGTCGATTGTGAAGCTAACAAAGCCAAAGCAAAAGTATATTACTTAAATTCAATAAGTTGCGTTAGGATAATGATAAGTAAACTCACTTGTACGAGGAGTTAGAACCAAATTTTTTGCATCAGCAGAACCTAAAGCGATGAATGTGTCTTTTGGAGGATAATCGAAAGCAGATTCGCCGAAATTCAGCAACAATTCGGCATTTTTCAAACTAACTGATGGAAAAAGTCCTGCAGAGACGTGGCTCTGAGGTAAATCAAATGCCTTTGGGAACCGCTTTCCTAAACGTAAAGATGAGATTTAACGATTCATTTCATTAGCCTAACCATTTAAATAAAGGACGTACCATTTTTTGACCAACTAATAGTTCGGTTGTCAAGATCAAGGTAGCAACCGATGACATCATTGACAGTGAAAGATTCACCATAATCATCAAATTGACGACGATGAGATTTCTTTCCAGTACCACCGAAACCGTAGCTATCACTATCTGTTCCAATATCATGACAAGCTAGAGCAGTAGACCAACCCACTCGACATAAACCATCGTCTGTTATTCGTGCCTCATAGTAGTACTTGCCTGAAGAGAAAAGTGTCAATTCAATCTGCTTAAAGTAATTCGGTAGGGAAATTGCCCACTCACCAGAATTTCTGACACCTTTTGTTGCTCTTGCACCATGCCAACCATTTGGGTCACGACTTTGACAGAGCATTCCATTGGGGTCAATTGCAAAGCTAGCTGTCCTATCAAATATGTTCAAGTGCACTGGCTTTGAAAACATCGTTGGCTTATTCTATAAATAGTATGTTGGATGAAACGGAGCGTACCTTCATCTTTGAATTACTGCCACTGCCATTTTCTAGTTCTTTAAGGGTTTCATAGACAATTTGAATGACAGGAATGCAGAAAGCGCCGGTTTTACCACTTCCTGTCTCAGCGGCCATGATTACATCACCTCCGCCAAGAATCAAGGGAACAGCTTCTCCCTGAATGTCAGTGGGAAGGATCCAATCCATTTCTTGAACGGCTTTGGATATTTCAGGCAAGACGCCCATTTCTGCAATAGAACGGAGCGGAAAATGTTCATTAAGAATTCTAGAAATAACTTAATAGATAGAAAAAATTTTGCCTTTAAATGAAGACAATTTAAGCTCGATGGTTAAGGGGAATTGTATGGTCTAAGCATAATTTTAACATACAGTATCATTATGTTGAAAACCATATACTTATTGAAGTTTACAAATTCGTAATGAAATTGTAAATCTCCTTTTTCAAAGCTCACCAGTCTCAAAAGCAGTTGCCATTTCAGACTACAAACAATATTGCTGTTCAACTGATCTTTTCGGTGTAAAAGGACATATAGGCTATCAAGGTCATCAAGTATGTTTTTCACTTAAAATCTGAAAGATCGAAGCATAACATAAATTATTAATAATAAGATTTAGTTTATTCAATGATTAAACTTTGATCAAACTTTAATCGTGACTTTGTTATTTTATTTACTCACTTCAGAAGCTTTATAGGTTTGTCGCCTTTAGAACAAAATAGATATTATTTGAAACATAGTTATCGTTTTTTTCCTAAAATATTTTTGCCCTGTTTTTATCATGTTCAAAATTTTTTTCATAACATTGTGCAATATATTGCGTCCTAAGGCCTTTACTAACGGCTGAATTTTGTTCAAATAGCCGCAACTCAGACCTTATTTATTATTGGAAGATTCCCTCAATCCGTCCTTATTTTTTAATTTATATTAGCATAATACATTTTGATAAATAATTCATTTTTCGCGTTTGGTAGGACGCTTTGCAATTGATTATTTTGAAAAATATTTTTTAGTAATCCTTACCATCCCTTTCATATGTAACGTTTTTTGTCTATAAAGCTAAGTGGTACGGTGATTAAAGGACTTGAACTATGGATGCTCTGTTCTCTCCACGTTCTTATTTCATATTATTTATCATTGATATTTTTCCACTCCTCTTACACTGATTTATAAGTCTTTACTCATCTGCTATACCCTTATGTTCTTCCATTGGATCACTAGTCCTGTGGTTATTTTCTGTGCTTCTAAAAGTTTGGAATGAACATTTCAATCCAGCTTGAAAAGGTTAATCATTGCATTGATGAGGGTTTTAAGATTTAAATTTAAATACATATTTTAACTTGGGTTTATTTAATTTGTAAGAAATTTTATGAATTTAAGCTATTATTAAATAATTATAACATTCTTACGCCTATCTGAAATCTATTATATTGCAAGTTAAGCTCAAAGTTTCGTGCTTTTATTTTTACGGATCCGATATACTCAACACGCCGAATCAAAAGGAGTTGGACGGGAAACTACCTCCAGTTTATTGGATAATAAATATAGGCTCCTATGCAAATGCTACTTCGCAAGGTGTATGCCATGTCTGGTCATCATTTTCTAGTGACGATCACAACCTGCATGTTTATGTGCAAACATACATCTGGACCTCTTATGGGTACTGCTGTCATAATTTCTTGTTCCTTTTATCGGGTTCATTTACTATCTGTTGCCTTTTGCACTACACTTTAGTCATATAAAAATAATAAACAATTTCATTCACAATTTAATAACACGAACAGCCATCGTCTGATTTTTCATATCACCAAACCAAGAGTACCTTCCGATCTTTAATGACGGCTGATTCCTCACTACATAATAGTGCTCCTTATCGTACTTTATTAAACCAAATTATCTGGTTATGAGCATTTCTGTGCGCACAATTGACTAATTGACTGAATTATCCTATCGCACCATGCGGAGATATCTTTCAAAAGAAAATCGTAGCAAATCAAGCAATTTGCTGCAAACCGTAATAAGAGCTTCTGTTATGCCACGAATTGAAAAAAATGATGACTGATTGTTATTGACGAAAAGTAGACTACTCTCATAATCTTTTAACCTCTGGTTGTGGCTGGGTTCTAAGAGAATCTGGTTTCATAAATTAAGTGGTATAGAATAAGGCATTCTGGAAAAGTGATGACGCTGATTGCATTCTCATTCAAGTTTCGTCACATTTAGGAGTTCGAGAGTATGGTGCAAATATTCCTAGAAAATAATTCTTGTTTACTCCAATGATAGCTAATCAAAATAAAGATCCATTACCAGATTGGTACGAATATTGACTTATGCTTAGTATGCTTAGACCATACAATTCCCCCTAACTATCGAGCATAAATTGTCTTCATTGACTTTTGCCATTAACTCATTTTTAGATTTGGTATGGTTCTGAGATAAGTGCACTCTGATCTCTTCTTAGAAATGAAACTGACTTGGATTACGTTTAAAAGCCGTTCATTTAGACTGATTTAATCATATATGGTAATACCGATTTCATGTTGTGTACCATCATATTAATTGGTTAACTAAATCACCCCCAGTAAAAAAATAAATTTAGTGCATATAAAAGAACTGCATCACGTTAATGAAGGCTCCCCTGTCCGTGTGTGTGTTTACACCACGTTTTACACTCTCGATGGCGGTACCGTTATTACGTCATTATCCTGCACGTTGCTTCGTGTTATTCAATTTCACAGATAAAGATCATTCACTAAAACATTGTTTACGTTTGAGGTGATAAGAGTAAAAGGCAACCTAGAGGTGAGATGATGAAAATCTCGAATTCCCCTTACTAATCACTATTAGCTAGAGGGGCCAGCTATCCTTTTCAGTGACGAAAGTTTATTTCGTGACCATTGAGGTCACTGTTATTCACATGACCAACTGTATTATCTGCGCATTGCCACGGTACACCGACATTGCCATATTTAACTACTTACTCTTAATTGGGTCTTCCTGAGAGGGTTCTCTAAGTCCCGCCTTCACCATCCATTTTAACATGTGGATACACTCCACCCTTAACTGAACGGAAGTTGGTCAAGACAAGAAAATGTCAGCGCTTCAGTCGCTTTTTGCCCCTCAAGCATCAATCAAGCGAATCTTATTATACAAATTGGGGTGTGCGATAGACTTACCTCCACGTGGTGCACCCTGGGCAACGTATACTCACACGGCAAAAAGTCTATAAATCGACAGTTGACTTCTGGCTTCAAACTACCATCACCCCACTGTGTGCCATATTCGACTTCGTCCAGAGTACTCACCTCACCTCTTTTCTACCTTCGCCTTTGAAACACTCTTCTGTCCCCCCCCCCCACTCTCGACTTTTTCCACTTTGATGTTTCCCCTCCCCTCTGTGAAGCCTGAAGTCAACTAAAGGGCTAATGCTAACCATTAAAACGCCTGCCATTTGATATAAATAAATAATACAAATTTATTACGCCTAGAAATGCACTTGAACTATATAAAATCCAATCGTTCTTTGAGATTTTCCCGATAAGGAATCACATGATTTTGAATCCAAAGGCAAGATGCTTTTCGTTCCGTTATAATTCAGAATACAATATTCAACCAACCTTGAGAAAATCAATAACTTCATACGATCGACCAATTGATTGCTTGTCAGTTGCTAATTTATGTGGCTCTGATTTTGTTTATTGCAGTGTGTGCGTGTCGTATGCATAAATAAGATATATATGCTTTAGAGGAAATCCATAAACTCAAAGCGTTTACACCTCGATCACCTCCTGTCCATTATGAGGCTCGTTTAAGTATCCAATCAGAGCCTATCGTTATCACCGGAACCACAGTATATGAGCTGGCATAAATTTGGTTATATCAAATGGCAGGCGTTTTGATGTTTATCATTAGCCCTTTAGTTGACTTCAGGCTTCACAGAGGGGAAGGAACATCAAATTGAAAAATAGTGAAGAGGGGGAGGGGGAGTCGAACAGAAAAGTGATTCACAGATGTCAAAGAGACAGATAATATGGTCGAGATAAATGTAAGGAAAGGTGAGTGCTGAGAAAGTGGTCGAATATGACATACAGTGGGGTGATGGTGGTTTGAAGTCATAAGTCAATTGCCGAATAATAGACTTTTTTGCCGTATGAGTATACGTTGCCCAGGGTGCACCACGTTGAGGTAAGTCTATCGCACACCTCAGCTGGCGTAAGTTAGGGTCCGGTATCAATTATGATTAAATTAATTGAGTTCATTGAATACGTCTTCTCATAGACAGGTACAACTATAAATGTGGGAAGTAATTGAATAGGCAAGTATCTAGTTCAGATCTAAAAGTTACTATCCACATAATTAAGAAAGATGCGTTTTAAATGAAAACGATTATTCAGAATTAGCATTGGACAAAAATTCTTAGTGAACTGAATAATAGTAAACCTTTCTGACCTGTTCATATAGGTCATCACGTTCCAGTGCCGGTGAGGGACTAGTTTCTAGGTCAGAAGGCCCAGAATTGTTTTGGATCTATGTTTAGCATTTTATTTAAACTGATTTTAAAGAGGTCACTTAAATTACCCATGGCCATTCGCCAACCATTCTTAATTGCATGAATTATATGTGGGGCGTGACACCGCCTAATTACGCAAGCTGACAAATCAGGGACCGAAGGTGAGTACTGTGAACGTGGTGGAATATGACACACCGTGAGTGATTAGTAATTTTAAGTTGTAATTTTTAAGTAAGTCATTCTAGCTTTGTGGGCGGGGGTGGGAGGAGGAGTCATTGTCATGATGATGAGTTGCCTTTTTTCTACCTGGGACGTAGTTGTCCTGAAGTCTTAGCATTAGTGAGTTTAGCTTTTTGACTAAAAACCCTCCAGTATAGAATTTTACTCACGGCACAAGAATGCATCGTCAGGCAAAATGCGTTCAAGAGAAATACGGGATACTGTATCGTAATGTGTAATAGCAAAGCAATGCTTCAAACAAACACGCTTGGCGTATTTCTGGGAAGTAGAGCTTCGTTTTTTGGTGTGATTACTTTCTCGTGAGAGGTTGGGCTCCCACTTTGTCCTTCAACACAAGCATATCGTAAGACGAACTCGCCACCTAATTCCACCACCTGTACGAGCTTAAGAAAAATTCAAAAGGACAATTTCAACTCTACATCAGTTCTACTTGAATGTTACGACTTCGTGATGCCATTCTTTTGTCTCGTTAATTGCGTTGATTTATTGAAAGTAGATCTGAGTGGGTCTAATCTAAGAAATTCCAATAAGATAAACTGCATTACTTAATTGCTTAAAGCTCTAAGCATGATAATTTGTAGTTTTCTTAGATTTCATTCTAATAAACAGAAATTCGAGAAATTCTTCTCCA